AAACGGTCCATCTGGCGTATATGCAACCTCTGAAGAATCAGTCTTCAGGGAGAAACAAAAAACAGCGAATCAGACACCACCAGGGCCGCCAGTAGCAAAATCCCCGACCTGCCTTTTCTAGACTTCTAGTTTTTGGACCCAGGTATGGCAGATATAACAAGAAAACATTGGAAATATCTGGCAGAGCTGAAAATGGGTGATAGGAGCCTTTTCAGTCCGCCTAATGAGCATGGGAGTCCATGGTACTGTTCAACACGTGCTCAGGCGGGCTGATTCGTGTCGGTGAGAGAGGGGGTAACTTCAAGCACAAGTAAAATACACGATGGACGTTTCTTCACATCGTGTCTGCATGAAATCAAAATGTCCCAGAATGCTCGTCATGCTGGTATATAATTTTACCATATATATTTGCATTTTAACGCCACTAAACCTCATTACTTTTTAACAAGTAAAAAAATCACCCTGTACATATTAATCTCTGTTTCATTGCAAGTTCAATGTTATATAACATTTGGCATTTGAATAATCCGTCTTAGAGTTACAGCCCGCCAAACTTAGCGCTGCAAAGCAAGATCCAAAAAATGCTATACACCATAACTCAAAAAATACTTGTCTGATAAGCCTGAACTTGTTACAGGTGGATTCAGAGCCCCTGATTACCCCTGAGGCCAATTCTCGTCAAATTCCGAGAGATGACGGTGTCAAATTGGAAAAAATTGGTACGATCTATCGTGGAATGCCCCAGAGGCCAAGAAAATCTCCCAGGTAGCGGATGCGTTGAATACGGTCAGAGACGTTGTGGGGATTCTGAAGACAACTAAGAGGAAACATTGGTTTGAAGAGCATCTCCGATAACTAAACGTGAGCGTGGAAAATGACGAAGGTGTAATGCAGCAACCGCCGCGAAAGCTTCTATCACTGTGCCCCACTAGATGGACTGTCAGGTGCCAGGCAGTGTCACGATTCCTGGACGAGTACGACGCGATCATCTTAACACTTGAAGGCGTCGCAGCCGATGCATCTGCATCGCCCGATGTTCGATACCGGGTGAGGGGTCATCATCTCCAACACCTCCACCACTACGAGACGGTGTTCGCCCTTATGCTATGCGAACGCATATTCCGTCCCTGCGAGCTCTTCGCAAAGGCACTGCAGCGCCCAGGGGTGAACTCTGGAGAAGTCCGTCGAGGAGCAGCCATGCTTCTCGAAACGCTCCGCACGCTTCGTGAGGCTGGCTTCGACCAGCTCTGGACAGACTGTGCCCGGAAGAGTAAGTCGCTTGATGCACCGATCGACCCGCCAAAGGAGCCCCGCGCAAGCCGACCACCGAAGCGACTGGAACACTGTACGAACGCAGCTCCCCCTGCAGCTCTCAGCGCCAAGGCCTCGATCAGGAGAGCTTTCATGGAAGCCATGGACCTGATATCGAGCGAGGTAAGACGCCGCTTCGATCAGCCTGGTCTTGAGCGCTTGGAAAAAATGGGGGACCTGCTGCTCGGGAAAGAAAAAGATGTATCATCTGCACGAGTCAAAGAAATAATGGCAGCTGTGGGTGACCGTAACGAGGACGGGTCCGCTGCAGGTGACATCGATCCAGACGCTCTTGCTGCACAGCTGAGTGTGATCCGTCAGTGTAGTGCCATTGATTTTCCAGTCGCATCAATCAGTGAACTTGTCGGCATCATCGTGGAAGAGGGCCTCGTGTGTCGCCAGAGGCTATCTGAAGTGCTCCGTTTGGCGACTCGAATTCTGGTAGTCCCGATGAGCGGAGCGTCATCCGAGCGTTCTTTTAGCGCCCTGAGTCGCATTAAGACGCCACTGCGGTCCACTATGAGTCAGGCCAGGCTGTCCAATCTGGTCGTCCTTGCAACGCACAGTGACCGCGCCAGAAAGCTGGATCCGAAGGCTATCCTTCGTGAGTTCGTATCGAATCATCCGAAGAAGCGCCAAACAGTGTTCGGAAGAGTGTGAGTTGGATTTGGTGCGTGCTCTGTGCAACATTTGCGTGAGGAAAGTATTGTTTCGTCTTTATAGATGGCATTGCCAGGGAGTCGTCGCGTCAACAGACCTCAAGGTAGTGAAGGTTGATCGTATATGAATGGATGTCATGTATGGTATATGGGGCCATTCCGACCCGTTTTAGTGGTAAAAACAGGGAGTTGATTTTTCCCCCATTGACTTATAATGGGGAGGTCGAGAAATTGACCTGACCGTAGGTCACCGATATCAAAATTCCGAGATATACAAATTGTAGCTACTAAAGACTTATAACATCCTGCGACTTTCAAAGGCCTCCGACATCTACTGTAGCTCTGGCACGGTGACAAAGTTGCAAAAAAGTGACTTGAGGTTGGGTCATTCAAAGTGACCTGGTGACCTGACCTTAAAAGTTAGGAGGTTCAAACTTGCACACCATGTGTAAAATTGATGAGATAATTGTCGTACCAAATTTCGCGCCGCGGTTTTTCCGCTATTCGCGAAAAACCTCAGAGGGGCGGATATCCGCCCCCCCCCCCGTCGCGTCGGTGCGCGTGTCACCAGCTTTTTTGCATGTAGCAAAAAAGCTGGACGGGTCATCCAGCTTTTTTTGCGATAACTTAAACATGTTAGAACGATGCAAACACGTAGTTAGATGGATTCAGTTACACGACACAAATAGACAGTTATGACACGTGACCTTTTCCGGTAGGGTCACGACCTCGACCCTAGGTCAGATTTTATAGTCGGCCTTTTGAGGTGAGGTTATACTTCATTCGACGCGTCTCAACGAGCGGAATGCGTCGCTGATAAAATCGACAATACAGCCTTGATGAAAAAGTTTCGCAGAAAAACGTTTCCCGAAAAATGTTAACGCTTTAGTTTTCCCCCTGTGGCTTAGACCCCCACCAGGGCGCCGGCTAAACAGCCATTTCTGAGCATTAGTGGCCGTCTCGGCGCGTTTCTATATGCATATTGTTGTCCGTTTCAGGCACGGTACCCGCGCACAGGTGGTGGACGCCTGTCTGCGGCGGTCAGCGCTGTGGCGCCACTTCATTGTGGCGCCGCTGCTGGAGAACATGCGGGCGCGGCGGGCAGCCGGGCCGGACGGTCCAGAGCTGCGGGCGTTCTGTGACTGGCTGCTCGAGCTGGGAGAGGGGCGCGCAGAGGGCCCCGAGGATGGGTTTGGTCAGCTGCCCCCGCACCTGGTGATGGACGCCGATATTCCGCGAGTTGCTGGGGGGGGGGGCGTTAAACGCCCCCACTTTTTTCGCCGGGCCATAGCATAAAAACGGCGCGCCGCAGGCGCGCCAAATTTTGGGTACCTGTAGGGAATTGATTTAAGTTTATTGTGACAAAGTTTCAAAAAAATCGGTCGGAAAATTTTTGAGATATCGAGGTTTTAGTGACGTCATGATTTTTGAATTTTCGACCAAAAACGGCGTATGTTCAAAAAATCATATAAAATCACAGAATAGACATACAGACATGCTGTAAACGCCATTAGACTGCCAATACCATGAACAATCAAATGGCTATCTTCGATTATTGATTATCGTTCCGCATTTTCCAAAATCTTGAACTGAATCTTGACAATTTCTCGTGACTACTTCACGACTATGATACATGCATTTCTTAAATTAAACTTTTTTAGCCAAACACGTACACATATGATAAAATGAATGTCACCATCGTGTTCTACGCCCCAAATTACCCATAAAACATGTGTCACGGGCTGCGAATATCAGTTTTGATTTTCGGGGATATGTGCCTACCCGGTTGACCTGACCTTGACCCTGACCTATGCTTGACTGACCCCTACATGGAGCTGACACTCTTGTAGGCCTTATACTATGGATTGTGCACCATTTTGACAGAGTTTATGACGAGAGGCGCCCATTGCGAAGTCCTGAAGTCCATGCTACTGAAAGGCCGATTTCAGGTGTTTGACCTGACCTTGACCCGACCTGTGACCTCAAAAATCAACTTTTAAGTACTCATCTGAAGCGTCTCGTCGCGTTCTTTCGTTTGCCGCCTCGTGCGTTTCGCTGCGCCTATTGGTTCTCGAGTTATCGGCTGGGGGCGTTTAACGCCCCCCCCCCCCCCAGCAAACGGTGGGTGGCGAAATACCCCAGCAACTGCCGGGATATCGACGCTGTCATTGACTGGGTGTTTGATGACCTGGCAGGGCGACACGGCGACCGGGAGTGGATGGCGTCGCGGGCTGTGCTCGCGCCGCGAAACACTCGGGTCGACGAGCTGAACGCCACAGTCACCGAGCGCTTCCCCGGAGAGGCCGTCCGCCAGCTGAGCGCCGACAGTCTGGTGGAGGAGGCCGAGCAGCTGGATATCCCACATGAGTATCTTAACACTCTGCGCGCTCCCGGCTTCCCACCTCACTGCTTGATGATAAAGCCAGGCATGCCACTCATGCTACTTCGTAATCTGTCCGCCACTGACGGACTGTGCAATGACACGCGACTTATCGCTGGTCGTATCATCAGCCCGCGACTCATGGAGGCCACCATCGCCTGCGGCAAAAACGCCGGAAGGCAAGTGCTTATTCCACGGCTCCCACTCCAGCCCCCGGATGACGCGTTTCCCTTCCGCTGGGAGCGTCACCAGTTCCCCGTGCGGCCAGGTTTCGCCATGACGGTGAACAAAGCCCAGGGGCAGACGCTCGGTCGGGTCGCGGTCTTTCTGGAGGAGCCAGTGTTCAGCCACGGGCAGCTGTACGTGGCTGCATCGCGGGTCGGCCGGCCGGCGGATCTAAGGATCGCGCTGCCCAGAGGTGGCCAAGGCGCAACACCAAATGTGGTGTACACGGAGGTGATGGGCCGAGGTGATGGCCGGTAGATCCACGAGTCGCAGAGGCGACGGGTAGCCAGAGCGCTACGAGCAACGTGGAGAGTAGAGAGAAAACAGCCGGCCGATCGTGATGCAGGACGGATCAATCCTGGCGAGCCAATGCGCCGTCAAGTGGAAAATTTACACATAATGCCGCAACTGGCTTTGGTGACCTCCAATGCGCGAGCGCAACTTATATTTTGAGGATAAATCAATGTATTGAGTGGCATGTTATAAAACATGTTTAATATGCTCTGATGATATATTTGATATTTGCTGATATATTTTGATATTTGAGAGCACATCTAACAATGGGCGTTTGCCCCCAGCTATACAATCGGCTGCGAGTAGCACACACCGAGTACTTCTCGGGGGGCCTTATTGCCGCTGCCCACGGCCGCCGTGTCTTCCCTCACCAGAGGTGTGCGCTCTGCACCCGGTGAGGGGTCTCGGGCGTTAAATAGAGACGCAATCCGATGTGGCAGCCTCCACGTGGCGGGTTGCGGGGAAAAGCCACACAGAGCGACACGTAAGTATTTCACTGTTGTATTCACTAGATTTGATTGCGTTGCAGAAACATGTCAGGTACTGTCACCTGCGCACTGCAGCTGCTTCCACTTCTTATCACGACATGACGTAGTGTCAGCCCCGAGGAAGACAAGAGGACGCACGAGTGCTGCGCGGGATTCTCCGACAGCATCTTCTTACCCGCGGTGGTGACTGATACAACCAGCGTCTTACGGGTAAGGCAAGAAGTAAAGGATGGTTTGGTATGTGTTGAGTAGAGCTTCTGGGTAGGGTAGGGTTGTGTAGCGTATGGTAGGGTTGAGTGCATAAGGGGCCAGCATGCGAAAGACTCAAACAAAACGTAATCAGCACCAGCATACAGAGGCGGATCCAGCTCAGAGTTTTTTTTTGGGGGGGGGGCAAACCATAACAATTTATCGATTCTTTCCATGCATCGTCCATAGGCGTAATGTTAAAATTAAGCCGTTGGGGGGGGGGGGGGCAAATGCTCATTTTGCCCCCCCCCCCCTGGATCGGCCACTGCCAGCATACCATATATTTTAAAGCATCAAAGTTACTCTTTTGAAGTGGGCAAACGCAAGCTAAGCCCAAGCTACCCGACGTTTGCCGCAGCTCAGCGCAAGCGAATTGCTGGCAGGGGCGTAGCCAGGATTTCCTCCAGGAGGGGGCCAAACTTACAGGGGCCCAAGGTAAACCCCCTCAAAATCCAAAAAGTCATCGAATTTCGTCCACTATTTTTTGAAAGGGGCCCAAATAAATTTTAAAAAAATTAGAAAATGAAAAAAATGTTAGAACTGAGAGAACCGAAGGGCCCCTGCGAACACAATGGAAAGGGGCCCCGAGGGGCCCAGTGGCAAAACTTAAGGCCCGAAGGGCCCTTTTATAACCAATGAAGAGGGCCCAGAGGGGCCCTAGCGGCAAGGTCTCAGGCTTGAAGGGCTCCTGCTCCTCAATGGAGGGCCCCGAGGGGCCCAGTGGCAGGGTCTCAGGCCCAAATGGCCCTTCTACAACCAATGGAAAGGGCCCAGAGGGGCCCCAGTGGCAACTTCTTAACTTCGCTTGACGGGGCCCCTGATAACTTGACGAGGGCACTCTTAGCAACAGAAAAGCCCTCTGAATACACGACAGGGCCCCCTGAGCGCATGGAGGGGCCCCTGATCGCTTCACGGGGCCCTCTAAGCCACAGAAAGGCTCTCTGAGTACACGACAGGGCCCTCTAAGTGCATGAAGAGGCCCCTGAGCGCGCGTGACGAGTCCTCTGATCTACAGGAAAACTCTCTGAGCATATTAAGGACCCCAAGGGGCCCCTGAACGCCTGACAGGGCCAGGCGCGTAGCCAGGATTTTCCTCAGGGGGGCCAATCAGACCGAAAGGGGCCCATGTGAGCGAAGGGGTCCAACGTTTTCTTAATTTCCTGACATAGTTACTAGTTATTTGCTTAACTACCTTAAAGGTAGTGTGCCACCTTCCAATAATTTCCCATTTTATTTTTCCTAGGATAAGAAGCTTCTGTTTTTACCTAATATCGCAAAAAAAAATCAAAAATGGGCCTAAAATAGTGCTTTTTTCGCCTAAAAGTTTATCGGTTTTTCGATATGTATAACAACTGTAGTGGGCTGACCTGCAAACAGGCGTCGGCAACAATCGCGAATGCGGCGCACATGCGACAATAAGCAAAGGTCATTATAGAGTTACGACGTACGGGAATGAGTTATCAGCTGTATAATCGTAGACAACACAATGTCGAATTTAAACTGTAAGCCTGTATTGGTATTGTTTCTTTAATTTGGCTGTCGAACATTAATTTATGGTTTGAAATATTATTTTATGTAAAATAATTGATATGAAACAGCCGTCTCTAAAGTTATGACCCCATCTCACCACATGAAAGTGGCAGAAATGACAAAGATCAGCTGACGCATTTTTCTTGGCCGAAGTCAGAGCGCGCGGCCAAACGCACCACCACCGCACCACAAAGTATGAGCAGAAGCCACCTGCGGTAGACCGCGCCCAAAGCCAGGGCCCCGGTAACGTGAGGTAGCCGTGTCGGGGCAGCGTGCGCTGACCCAAGCCGGGGCCGCAGCTTTGGGCGCGGTCTACCGCATCCCCGCGGGCAGCCCCGGGCTATCACATGACACCGGGAGGACGCGCGGCCCCGGCTTGGGTCAGCGCACGCTGCCCCGACTCGGCTACCTCACGTTACCGGGGCCCTGGCTTTGGGCGCGGTCTACCGCACCACCGAACATGCGTGTTCGAAACCGCAGGAGATGATGATGAACGGGTTTATCGAAACTTGATTGGATGAGCCTATCGGTAAAAGCGATTTCAGTGTGTGCATTTATTGTTCATAGTGGTGTGAAATGTGGTTGGGGTACGACCGACAACCCGTCGGGGCGAATTTCGCACTGGGGTACTCAAAATTTGAAGAATTTAAGACGTTTCCATGAGGCTTGAAGGTATGGATAAGTTCTAAAAATCCGGTTCTCCTTATCTGGGCCATTAACTCCATACGGTCCAGGAAAGCTGGCACACTACCTTTAAAATTACGAAGGGCCCCTGCGAACCCAATGGAGAGGGCTCCGAGGGGCCCAGTGGCAAAGCCTCAGGCCCGAAGGGCCCTTTTATAACCAATGAAGAGAGCCCAGAGGGCCCTAGCGGAAAGGTTTCAGGCCCGAAAGGCCCCCGCGAACCCAGAGGAGTGCCCCGAGGGGCCCTTACGCTACTTTTATTGTGACACTTACCGTACTTATATCACCGCGATGGGGGCCCTTTTGGGCTCCAGGGGGGCCATAGCCCCTATGCCCCCCCTTGGCTACGCCCCTGATTGCTGGCTGGGGTGACCTGGTATGACCTAAGCTGACTTAGCCTGATCCAGCCTGACCGTAGGTTGACCCTTTTGACCCGATCTCACCCCGGGTCACCCGAAGTTGACCCAATAAAGCCCTCGGAATGGCCGTTTCATCTAAACCTCCGCACGTTTCTGTGCACACCTCTGTTTACAACCAACAAATCAGCCTGAATGAAATACCATTCAACAGTAAATTAGCCAGTGCCGCATGAATTCACTGCGACGCGAAACAAGCAGTGCAGGCACATATCTTATTTCCTATAACCTGAAATACACCAGCAGCTGTTGGATGAATTCCGAGTGAAGATTGCCTGAGCAGTGATGAGCGAGAGAGAGGGAGAGAGGGAGAGAGAGAGAGAGAGAGAGGGAGAGAGGGAGAGAGAGAGAGAGAGAGAGAGAGAGAGAGAGAGAGAGAGAGAGAGAGAGAGAGAGAGAGAGAGAGAGAGAGAGAGAGAGAGAGAGAGAGAGAGAGAGAGAGAGAGAGAGAGAGAGAGAGAGAGAGAGAGAGAGAGAGAGAGAGAGAGAGAGAGAGAGAGAGAGAGAGAGAGAGAGTATCTTACCTTCGGCAGTGAGCGCCAGACTGAGGTAGTCCGAGTACTGGTGCACCAGTCGTTTGATGAGGTCCACCTGTTCCAGGGCCATCTGGACGGCGTTCTTGTATTGCGACTCGCACGGCACGTAGGCCGCCCAAAACTGGCGGCACAGCGGGGTGGCCCGGACAGCCGGTCAGCCGGCGCCCTCCCTCCGGCCCACCGGCCGCACCAGTACCACCAGTACCACCAGTACCAGTACCACCAGTACCACCAGTACCACCAGTACCACCAGTACCACCAGTACCAGTACCAGTACCACCAGTACCACCAGTACCACCAGTACCAGTACCACCAGTACCAGTACCAGTACCAGTACCAGTACCACCAGTACCACCAGTACCACCAGTACCACCAGTACCACCAGTACCACCAGTACCACCAGTACCAGTACCAGTACCACCAGTACCAGTACCACCAGTACCACCAGTACCAGTACCACCAGTACCACCAGTACCACCAGTACCACCAGTACCAGTACCACCAGTACCAGTACCACCAGTACCAGTACCACCACCAGTACCAGTACCACCAGTACCAGTACCACCAGTACCACCAGTACCAGTACCACCAGTACCAGTACCACCAGTACCAGTACCACCAGTACCAGTACCACCAGTACCAGTACCACCAGCACCAGTACCAGTACCAGTACCACCAGAACCACCAGTACCACCAGTACCACCAGTACCACCAGTACCAGTACCAGTACCACCAGTACCACCAGTACCACCAGTACCAGTACCAATCGGCAGCACCATACAACTTCTCTCCGGTCCATATGGGTATATCCCGCGCACCGACGGCGGTCCGCGCCAACTTAGAACCGACGGGGACCGCGTCCCCCCCCCCCGCCCCTCTAAGATCTCGAGAACAAAGCAAGATAGCAACAAGAAGAAAACAGCATGGGGTACGCACAGACAAGGTCAACAATTTTTACCCAGGTCATTTTTAGGTCAGGTCACAGATGACGTCACAGGGTTAAAAAAGGCAAAATTGTGATGCTAGGTATGGGGAGAGTTTTTCTCGAATAACTTTCGAAATCGCAAAGCTAGGAACCAACCAATGGCACCATCGTGATCCTCTCGGCAATCCGCATCCGGGGTAATCATAGGCCCCAAAGACGCCTGGCAAAATATCAGACTTCTCAGATCAAAACTTTTTGAGTTATATTGCATTACATTTTTTAACTTCGGTTTGTAACGGTGAGTTTGATGGCCTATAACTCAAGAACGGGTTAAGCTACCAACAAACAGTTAACAACACTAAGCTTGCGATGAATCAAAAATTAGTATTACCATTTAAAAATTCCAAAGAAAAATTTTCATTGTTGAGCAAAAACCTTAATCGTTTTTCGTTTGCCTCTAATGACCTTTGGGACCAAAATTTTTCAAATTTTTATTTTTCCAAAATAAACTTCATGTCATTGCAAATCGACATGCAAAAAATTAGAAAGGTGTTCTTTCTATAAAATCCTCATTTTTCCGCAAACAAAATGGGTTTCGGAGGGGTTGATACGACCCCAGTACGCCGTTTCGCTTCTAATAGAGCTAGAGCCTCGCGGAAAAAACGACCGTGTGTGCCGCAACAAGTCGCAGCGATTGGTACCCGATTTTAAGGTCTCAATTTAACCGGTAGCGTCTGAGGTCAGGTCAAGTGACTGAAGTTACGGGTTCGGTTTTTAGTAAATAACTTCGCAAAAAATGGCCGCAGGGCCCCGATTTTGGCATCATTGTGTTCGCCTAGCTCAGGTGCATCGAATGGTATACTTTTTGCTAGGATGAGGTCAACTTAAGCAGTTGACCTCGGATCAAGGTCAGGTCAGAACCCCTCAGGTCACGAAGCTGGGCAACCCTTATCATATGGCATATCATTCGATTCGGAAGGTCTTCCCGAGTCCATTGGTGGCTTTCCCAACTCTAGCTCCATTTGATCGGGAGTTATTGACGAAAAACAGTACCATCAGTACCATCAGTACCACCAGTACCACCAGTACCAGTACCACCAGTACCAGTACCACCAGTACCAGTACCACCAGTACCAGTACCACCAGTACCAGCACCACCAGTACCACCAGTACCAGTACCACCAGTACCAGTACCACCAGTACCAGTACCACCAGTACCAGTACCACCAGTACCAGTACCACCAGTACCAGTACCACCAGTACCAGTACCACCAGTACCAGTACCACCAGTACCAGTACCACCAGTACCAGTACCACCAGTACCACAAGTACCACCAGTACCAGTACCAGTACCACCAGTACCAGTACCACCAGTACCAGTACCACCAGTACCAGTACCACCAGTACCAGTACCAGTACCACAAGTACCACCAGTACCAGTACCAGTACCACCAGTACCAGTACCACCAGTACCAGTACCACCAGTACCAGTACCACCAGTACCAGTACCACCAGTACCACCAGTACCAGTACCACCAGTACCAGTACCACCAGTACCAGTACCACCAGTACCAGTACCACCAGTACCAGTACCACCAGTACCAGTACCACCAGTACCACCAGTACCACCAGAACCACCAGAACCACCAGTACCAGTACCACCAGTACCACCAGTACCACCAGTACCAGTACCAACCGGCAGCACCATACAACTTCTCTCCGGTCCATATGGGTATATCCCGCGCACCGACGGCGGTCCGCGCCAACTTAGAACCGACGGGGACCGCGCCCCCCCCCCCCGCCCCTCTAAGATCTCGAGAACAAAGCAAGATAGCAACAAGAAGAAAACAGCATGGGGTACGCACAGACAAGGTCAACAATTTTTACCCAGGTCATTTTTAGGTCAGGTCACAGATGACGTCACAGGGTTAAAAAAGGCAAAATTGTGATGCTAGGTATGGGGAGAGTTTTTCTCGAATAACTTTCGAAATCGCAAAGCTAGGAACCAACCAATGGCACCATCGTGATCCTCTCGGCAATCCGCATCGAAACATACATGCCTGTTGTGTTAACCTCGAAAGGTCAAGGTCAAAGGTTGACCTCAGGTCACGTGATCTCAAGGTCATTATGTTTGTTGTTTTAAAGTCATTTTTCCCAGGAAATTAGCTATGTATAGTTACTTTTCGGATTATTCTCTGGGATAATAATATCTAACTCACAAGTCCATATATTTCGGATGATGTTGCTCACCCTTGGTCACTGGACAACATAAAAACAATTACTGGGTAATTACCCTCGACTTACTGGGTATAATTATTATAATTACTGGGTAACTCGTAATTACCCAGTAATTACTGGGTAATTACGGTCAATATGTTTATCATTCGATGCGACTTGACGAGCTGAACACAATGAGACAATCCGCGTGGCTTTATCTCGTTCCTGTAAGGAGTTATTAGCAAAAAACCTTTGGTGACCTTTGATGACGTCACATGACCTTGCAATCGTTTAATAGCAAAAAAAGCCTCAAGGTAGTCAGTATCTGAAGTCATTTAGGGTATATTAACCCAGGTGGGTGACGGCACATGATCGCCTGAGGCGGTGGGGGTAAAAATATTTTCGTCATTTAACCCGAGCCCTGCTGGGTGTGGGGTGTTTGAACACCCCCCCTTGTGGTTTTTCGCGAATATCTCAAAAACGGCGGCGCTCCGCTCCGCCGTTCTTGGTACACCTTATCATACATCAATTCTACACATGCTGTTCAAATTTCAGATCAAGGTCATTCAAGGTCAGGTCACCAGGTCACTTGAAGTGGCCTCGCCTCATAAAAAGTTTCAATGTCTGCCATAGCTACACCGAGTGACCGATCGCTTTGAAACTTTTAGCGATTGCTAAGAGCAATAGCATGTACAAAATGTATATCTCAGAATTTTGATATCGATGACCTAAGGTCAGGTCAATTTTGCGACCTCCCCATTATAAGTCAATGGGAGAACATTGAAATGCGCCTCTTTTGGACAAATGACATTATAAACACTCCCAAACACTGAACTACAAGTGGTTTAGACACACTGAACATGAAAATGGTGTCTGTGACCCCTGTTTATGCCCCTGAGGTCATCTTAGGTCACGAATGGTATCTAACAGTTTTTCGCAAATAACTTTTGATAGAGGCATGCTAGAGCGATGAAAACGCCTCAGATGTGTTCAGCTCGACGATACGGATCGACTGATATGCAACATGACCCTTTCCGGTCAGGTCATGACCTTGACCTGAGGTCAAATTTTCAAGTTGACCTTTCAAGGTCAAGTTATAGTTCATCCGATGCGTCTTGACGAGAGGAACACGATGCCGGTAAAAGTATGCTCGTACAAGGCTTGGGTCAAAAGTTATTGCAGAAAAATGTTTCCGAAAAAATCGTCTATTTTTGCAGTTTTTGCCCCCTGCAGGCAAAACCGTTGACGTTAGGTCAAATCTGAGTGAATTACTCAGAAAGGGCGTTAATAGGGCTATCGAATGCGCTTTCCCGCAGCGCTGTAGCTCTATTGGTTCCCGAGTTATGCGTTGGCTTTTTGGAAATTGTCGACATTCGACCTGGAAATCGGCAAAATTTTGCCTTCAATGACCTATGGTGACCTGACCTTTGACCTGACCAAAAATTTGACCGATGTGACTTCGGCATTATTTTTGGCGCTCTTTCGAACGCCGCCTTCCGCGTATCGCTACGTGGCCCAGGAGCCGAGTTAGCAGGGGGGGGGGGTGTTCAGACACCCCCTCCCCCAGCAGGGCGTGGAAATCCAGGACCCCCAGCCGGGCGCGGGTTAATGCTCAATGCAATCGCTGCGACTTTTTACAAGACCTTCTCCTCGTCGCTGTTTCTTGCTTTCAACGACTGGTCCCCGAGTGATGACTATCCTCACGCAAGATAGGATGAATGGAGCTAGCAATTAAGCCCAAAAACACATCGAAAATGTTACATAAAACTTCTTTTGAAGGAGATGAATTGAATGGTTTTGGAGCCTCACGAAATATGTTTCAGATATGACGCGTCACACAAACTGACGCATAAAGATTGTGTTCAAAAGTGTAAGCGGCAGCTCCGGAAGCACTTGTTGACGAATGAATAGCGTAGGTGCTGCCCGGTCGCCATAGCAACAAGTACGCGTCACAAATTTCGAACACTATCCGAGTGCGC